TTGTGTTTTCTTTTGAGGGAAGGGCACAAGGGTGGAGGAGTGGACCTTGGAGGAATGGATCAGGGTTCATTATGTGAAATTCCCAAATAACCAGAATAAAAATATTTTGTTGGTGAAAAAAAAAAGCTCATCTCATTTGAAATGTTTTTTTTTTCCCTTCTCATGGCACCGCTATTATTTTCTTCTCTTGTTTTAATGTTTGTTCACTCATAGTATTAGGGATTCAAGGGTTACTTGAAGTTAGGCCAAACTGATGAGAAAATAAATTCATACATTCTGTGTTCAAAAGAAAGGGGTTTTTAAAATCATAGGGTTACTTTGGTACTGACTGATTATCACAAAGACTAAACTTGTTTTTTATAAAGTTATAGATGACCTGATAATTAAACAGATTTGATTACTTGGTATTTGAGGAGCATTTTTTCCATTTTTTTATTTGAATTAGAAACAAGATTGTTTTACATGTCAATCCCAGTTCCCTCTCCCTCCCCTCCTCCACTCACCCCCCCCCAACTTAAACCCTCCCTATCACATACCCTTTCTGCACCTCAGGGAGGGTGAGGCCTTCCGTAGGGGGTCTTCAGAGTCTGTCATATCCTTTGGCATAGGGCCTAGGTCCCCCGTGTGTCTTGGCTCAGGGAGTATCCCTCTATGTGGAATGGGCTCCCAAAGTCCACAGCTATGCTAGGGATAAGTACTGATGTATTACAGCAGGCCTCATGGATTTCCGAGGTCTCCTCACTGACACACACGTTCCTGGGGGCTGGATCAGTACCATGCTGGTTTCCCAGTTATCAGTCTGGGAACCAAGAGCTCCCCATTGTTCAGGTCAGCTGTTTCTGTGGGTTTCACCAGTCTGGTCTGGACTCCTTTGCTCATCCCTCGTCCTTCTCTGCAACTGGATTACAGTTCAGTTCAGTGTTTAGCTGTGGGTGTCTGCTTCTACTTCTACCAGCTGCTGGATGAAGGCTCTAGGATGACATATAAGTCAGGCATCAATCTCAGTATCAAGAGAGGACATTTAAGGTAGCCTCTCCTCTGTTGCTTAGATTGTTAGTTGGTGTCATCTTTGTAGATTTGAGGAGCAATTTTATATATTTTACTTCTGATTTAAAGGGAGTGATATGAGTTGGAGTGTGTTTTGATTAAAACTTCAGGTGCCTTAAGTTGTCTGTGGCAAATGACACCACTGAAATCTTTTAACTATGTAAGTGTTCTCTCTCTGAGTGCATAAGGTGACAGATTACAAAGTATCATCTCATGTCCAACTTGTTGTAGTTGATAAAATACATACAACTGTCTTACATTGGCATTTACTCAGGAATGATGCTATTTCTCTGAAACTAGGTGAAAGCACTTATAAATGATCTGTCTATTGAGATAATAGGACCTGATAGCCTTTTTTGTTTGTTTGTTGTAAATGAAGTTATCATGAATTTCTTTGACATAAAATCTTCCATATTATTTAAGGAAACTTGTTGAGTGTGGTGGCACATGCCCATAACCCCAGCAATAAGGAGTCATGGATAAGTTAAGTGCTCCTTGAGCCTAGTTTGGTCTACAAAACAAAACCTTTTCTCAAACAGGCAAGCAGAAAAATAGGAAAACATCTGGGGAGATGACTCTATAGTATAAACATTTGCCTTGCAAATATAAGAACCTAGCTTTAAATGTCCATAATCTACATGTCTCGTTGTAGTAGCACACATCTATAATCACAGCAGCATGAGAGGCAGAGATGGAGAAATACCAAGAAGCTCCAAGGGCCAGCCAGGCTGACATATACAACAAATAACAGACCCTATGTCAAATAAGGTGAAAAGTGAGTGCAGACATATGAGGTTGTTCTCTGACCTCCACACATGTATGTACCATGGCATGTGTGCACCTATATACACGCTCATGGGCACGCACACACACATGATGTTGTGTGACATAAATCCTGGAGAAAGGTGAACATAGTCACACATAAAGATACCACTGAAGTTCAGTTTAATGAACCATTAAGTTTATTGGAGTTCCTAATTGAAGTATGAACAAGAGACATTGATGACAGTTCAGGAATGCTAGAACCCTGGAGCTCACTGCAAACTTGCAAGCAGCTCAACAGCTTCACAGTAGCTTGTCTAGTCCAGTCCAGGTCTCCTCAGCAGTCCCTATTGTTTTATAGCACTGGGTGAACAGACCTTGTACATATATCTGGTCAATTTCAAGGACTTTCTGAGTGATTTAGAACTTGCTGAGTCTTGTGCAGTTGGAGAAATGATTGTGACACCATGAACAGTACCTCAGGCCAGATGAATCCCAGCATGCCATGGAGAGTTGGACAGTTTCTATTGGCAATTGATAGCTGCTTAGAGATAGTTTGCTTTGAGGGTATGGCCCTAGCATGTCATTCACACATAACCCAGCAGTATATCTTAGATTGGAGTTGATGAATTTTAAAATTAGGCAGACTCAAAGTTGAATGGGTATGGAATAAGGGGTGGGTCTGAGAGGAGTTTCTGGAGGAGGGTAAATATGGTCAAAATAGATTGTATGAAATTTTCAAATAATTAATTTTGAAAGAAAATATTTAATTGTTTTTAAATAGTGTTTGCTCTTTCAAAGGATTAGAGTTCAGTTCCCACATGGAAACTGGGTGCTTCATAACTGCCTGTAATTTTGTTTGCTATTACTGTGGTTTTCCAACTGTATTACTAGTGTTAGGGATTTTTTTTTTTAACATTTAACAGTTCTGTGTGTTCTGAAATATGATGAAGTATGATATAGATATGTGTCTAAGAACAAATTATTGTCATTTGACTTTCTATTTTCTTCATTTTTTCTGTAATTTCTGATGCAGATGAAATTAGATTCCGTAGACAACTAGAAGCCCTTAGCTCTGATGAAGAATACAGTGAGCAGGATGATACACAGAGACCAAGCTTCCGAGGGCCAGTGGCTATCCGTAGGCATCATCGGGGAATAGGTAAAGCACATTCTAAAACTTTTAGTATACTAATGTTGCATTTTGTTGCATACTTCATTTCTCTCAGACATGGACTTGTATAGGGTTGGTAGGAATTTATTCTAGGTCAAATGAAAGAAATGTTTAAGTGATGAGTTAAGCTTCTAATGGAGAGCAGGGTGAGAAATTAACAATGGAGGTAATAACTGTTTTAGATTAGCCTGGTTGCTATACTTTTAGGAGGTAATATAGGAGAGTTAAGATCAATAGCCTAACCACTGTCACAACCACATTTTGTTATAAAGGAATATTACTGGGTAAAGAGAATGAGGTAGAATGTGAAGAATATCTCCTATACCCTAACAGCATTGCTTGGAGAAATAAACACATTTGAACATAAACACACTATACAGATTATCATTGTAAAGAAATATTTTCAACAATTGAGGGTCTCTCTGATCTACTCATTAGTTTAGCAACATCTTAACACAGTGTGTATTATAAGTCTCTTCAAGCTTACCCAAATTAGTTCAGTCGCTAATGAGAAACAGAGAGAGGAGTTATTGTAGGGGCAATACAGCTAAGACAGGTAAGAAAATATTTTCATGTATTACACAATAAAACATAAAATTTATCTTTATAAGCTTTTCAGATGTTCCTAGTTTTTGAATTTATGTTTCTGAGATAGGGTCTTATGTACTAGCTTTCCACTCACTGTGCAGCCAAGGAAAACTAAGCTTAAACTTCTGATCTTCTTGCCTCTACCTGTCAAGTGCCAGTACTACAGATATGTGCGGGCACACTGAGTTTTATGTTGTTTTGGGGAGCAAATTCAGGTATTTTGTGCATACTAAGAAAGAAATCTGCCAACTGAGCCACATTCCCACAAAGTATTTTATAAGTGTTTCTTAAACTATCTCTATACCCAAATCAAATTAGATAACTGAGGCAAATATTGGTATGATTAATAAAAAGAACACTTTTTTTTATGCTGGCATATTATTTTTAATTTTAGATGTCTCAACTTTGGTACCATATATAACTGAATCTTAAATATTGTGTTAAATGAACATTGCCCCTTTGAAGTATAGATAGTATGGCAAAAACTGTTGTAGAATTCAGTGTGACAGTCAGACACTGTAAGAGTGATGAAAGAGTAAATGTTTTCCAAAACAAGGCCTAGCTTCTAATAGCTGATTCTGAAAGTTGCTGAATTCACTGATGAAGGTACAGAAAATAACTGTTGTCAAAATAATACACAGGATTCAGAAGTGGTGGTAGAGGAAGAAACGATAATTTTTTCAGACGAAGATTTCCAGAAAATCATCCTTCATTTCTTCTGGTAAGTCAATACCAAGAGTTAACAGAAATCGAGAGTCTGAAATGTGACATTGTTGATTTTTAAATGTTTGTGTGTTTTTGTTTTGAGACAGGGTCTTGCTATATAGGACAAACTACTATAATATTCACTATGTAGCCAAGGCTGGCAAAGAGCTCGTGATGGTTGTCCTGCCTCAGTCTTCCAGAGCGCTGGGACCATACTCGTGTCAAGTGTCTTAATTGCTTTCCTATTCCTGTAACAAAACACCATGATCAAGGCAGCTTAGAAAAAATAAGAGTTTATTGGAGCTCACAGTTCCAGAGGGTTAACATCCATGATCATCATGGCGGGGGAGTGTAATATCAGAAAGACAGGCATGCCATTGACACAGTAGTTAAGAGTTTACATCTGATTCACAAGCATGAGGCAGAGAGAGAGAACAAACTGGAAATGGTACGGACTTTTGAAACCTCAAAGCCCCACCAAGTGACATATCTTCAACATGACAATGCCTCCTAATTTTTCTGGTGGTTTGAATGAAAATGGTCTCCACAAGCTCATAGGGAATAGCACTATTAGGAGGTGTGGCTTTGTTGGAGTAGCTATGGCCTTGTTGGAAGAAGTGTGTCAAGCAATAGCTTTGAGGTTTCAAATGCTCAAGCCAGACCCAGTGTCACTCTCTCTTCCTGCTGCCTGCCAATTCCAGATGTAGAACTCTAGGCTTCTTCTACCAGCACCATGTCTGCCTGAGTGCCACCGTGCTTCCCACCATGACAACGGTAAACCTCTGAACTATAAGTCAGGCCCCAATGATATCCTTTGCCTTATAAGAATTGTTATGATCCTGTTGTCCTTTCACAAGCAGTTCCAATAATTGGGGATGGAGCATTTGAATATATGAGCCTATGGGGGCCACTCATTCTAAACACCATACTTAGTTAACATATTTCATAATAATGAGAATAATTTTAAATTCTGTTGAGAACAGGGATTTCTTCTTAGTATTTTTCCTTCCTACCATGTTTTTAATTTAAATTTGGTATTGGTTCACTTTTTGTCCCTACAACTATTTCAATAAATATTTTATCTTTATTTTCAATCATCATCAGGAATTTTGAATTTATAAAATGTAAAAACATAAGCTGGCGATTGTGTCATTTATCCTACAGAATCATTCTCATTTTTGTCCTCATAATTTTTGATCTTAAGTTACAGTAAAAAATATTTTAGTAGTATTAAAATTAATTGTGTAAACTAGAATTTAGGACTAGAGAGATGTTTCAGTGGATAAGAGCCCTTGCTGCTCTTCCAGAAAATCCAAGTTCAATTCTCAGCACTGGTATCAGGTGGCTCACAACCTCCTGTAACTCCATCTCCAAGGGCTTCAACCCCTCTTTTGGCCTCTGGGCACTCACACATATGTGGTCTCAGCCTTTCAAGTGTTGGGATTATAGGCATCAGCTACCACATCTTGTCTCTATAATTATTTTTGATAGGTTTGTGGTTGTGGTAAAATTGCTTTCCACACATGCCTAGCCAACCCAATTGGATCTCTGGGACCCTTGTAGAAGTCAAAGGAAAAAGTAGGCTCATACAAAGTTGGCTTCTGACTTCCACATGCACACCATGGCACATACACCCATATATACCATGGGCACATAAACCCGTGTGTGTGTGTGTGTGTGTGTGTGTACATTCTTTTCTTATGAGTATTTATTTCTTTTCTTAAATTTAGGAATCTTATAGTACCTAATTTGGCATAAATAATTTCTTAGGGATACAACAGATGGGAACTACAGTCCTGCTCATGCTTATGATGCACTGTACCACTGAACTACAACCCAAGCCCAGAAAATACTCTTTACATAAACATTTATAAAACTATTGGACACTGTTAAAAGGGTCTTCAGGAGATGTGCCTCAATCTTGTCTTTCCTGATTACTCACTGTTCTCCCAACACTAGTCACTTAAAATTAAAGGGGTAACATGATAGTCTACCTAATTTACTTATTCATGTTTTCAATAGGAATACTGAAGAGTGGCTGTGAATTTTTCCTGTATCAAATCTGCTGATTTTTCATACTTTTCTTTTATTCAAGTTGTGTATATATATACACACAATATACTACAATATACTATATGTGTGTGTGTGTGTGTGTGTGTATATATATATATATATATATACATATATATATATATATTCTTTGTGCTAATACCTTCCTCATACTTAGCAGTTACTACTAGCATTTAACAGTGTTGTTGCAGTACATGGTAATGCCAAATATAAGGGATGTTTTCCTTGCTAAGCAACATACACTAAATCTTGCTTTCTTAGCACAGTCCATATGATGGTATTTTTTTACTCTGGACATCATAGACATTTTTTCAAAGTTTTCATAATTTCCTTTTTGGTGATTCACTATACTGCCCTTTTGGTTTAAAAACTGAAAGGATAGAAAAGCTGAGTTATTACCGGATAAATTTATTTGAACTGTATCAAACCCAACCCTTTGCTTCGTTTATACCATACATTCCACTTTCTTTGTTTTTCTTCTTAGAATTAAGTAATTTTTTGTATTGAAGGTAGTTTTTTAATGACCACTGGGCAGGAAAATAATCAACAGAATAATTTAGAATGCTTTTCTTTGGTCTTAAGAAGTTCTGTTACAAAACATTAAATACACTTATTACTCTTGGGCCTGTGGAAGTAGTTCAGTTGGTAGCGTACTTGCCTTAACATTTATAAAGGTCTGGATTCAATCCCCAGTACCATATAATACCAGATGTTGTGGCATGTATCTTTAATCATAGCACTTGAGGTGGGAGTAGGAGTTTCAGAAGTTCAAGGTTATGCTTGGATACAGTTTCTGTCCAGCTTAAGCTCCTTACCCCCCAACAAAATGTCTCTCATCTCAATTATAAAGTCACATTGTTTGTTTCATTATTAAAATTCATAACATAGCTAGTTTTCCATATTTCTTATGTTACATATGTATAATCTCTTGTGCAAGGGATGTGGTACATCAGACATGTCTTTAAGTTGCATCTGGTAACTAGTATATAAACGTAAAGTCATAGTATAATTCTAGGAGAAAGACAGAAATGGTCTTGAGAAGTCGTGTGTGATAGTACAAGCCTATTCAAGCATTCATGAAAATCTGCACTTCCAGCCTAACCTATACTATATAGTTAGACAATGCCTCAATAAAGGAAGGGAGGGAGGACTTTGAAAATTACACTTATGACTTAATCAAACCATGGACAATATATTTCATTTGTGTTATGTAATTGGGCTCCTTTGTAGATGAGACATGACAACAGTGAAGATCGATCAGGTTGGAATGGAAACCAATCTGAAGAGAGACAACCACAAATAGAGGGAAATCAAGTTTCCTTCAGGAGATTTCATGACCACTCCCAATCTCGTGGTCGCCCCATTAACAGATCTCATGGCCGACACTCCAGATCTCCTAGCCCCTTCAGGAGAGCACCTGTCCACTCAGATAGACCATATCATGACCACTCAGATAGACCCCATCTTGACCACTTTGATAGACCCAGGGGTGACCACTTAGATAGACCCCGTCATGACCACTTGGATACACCTGAGGATGAACTCTCAGATGAACCCCATCATGACCATGCAAATAGACCATATTATGACCACTCAGATAGACCCCATCTTGACCACTTTGATAGACCCAGGGGTGACCACTTAGATAGACCCCGTCATGACCATGTAGGTAGACCACATCATGACCACGCAGATAGACTCCGTCATGACCACTTGGATAGACCTCAAGATGAACACTTAGATGGACCCCGTCATGACCATGCAAATAGACCATATTATGACCACTCAGATAGACCCCGTCATGACCATGGAGCTAGACCATATCATGACCATACAGATAGACCTCGTCATGACCACTCAGATAGATTCCATCTTGACCACTTGGATAGACCCCAAGATGACCACTTAGATAGACCCCGTCATGACCATGTAGGTAGACCACATCATGACCACTTGGATAGACCTGAGGATGAACTCTCAGATGGACCCCGTCATGACCATGCAAATAGACCATATTATGACCACTCAGATAGACCCCGTCGTGACCACTTGGATACACCTGAGGATGAGCTCTCAGATGAACCCCGTCATGACCATGCAAATAGACCATATTATGACCACTCAGATAGACCCCGTCGTGACCACTTGGATACACCTGAGGATGAGCTCTCAGATGAACCCCGTCATGACCATGCAAATAGACCATATTATGACCACTCAGATAGACCCCGTCCAGCCTACTTGGATAGACCTGAGGATGAACACTCAGATGGATCCCATCATGACCATGCAAATAGACCATATTATGACCACTCAGATAGATCTGAGGATGAACTCTCAGATGAGTCCCGTCATGACCATGCAAATAGACCATATTATGACCACTCAGATAGACCCCGTCATGACCACTTGGATACACCTGAGGATGAACTCTCAGATGAACCCCATCATGACCATGCAAATAGACCATATTATGACCACTCAGATAGACCCCGTCATGACCACTTGGATACACCTGAGGATGAACTCTCAGATGAACCCCATCATGACCATGCAAATAGACCATATTATGACCACGCAGATAGACCCCGTCATGACCAGGCAATTAGACCATATCATGACCACTCAGGTAGACCCCGTCATGACCACTTGGATAGACCTGAGGATGAACTCTCAGATAGACCCCGTCATGACCATGCAAATAGACCATATTATGACCACTCAGATAGACCCCGTCATGACCACTTGGATACACCTGAGGATGAACTCTCAGATGAACCCCATCATGACCATGCAAATAGACCATATTATGACCACTCAGATAGACCCCGTCATGATCAGGCAAGTAGACCATATCATGACCACTCAGATAGACCCCGTCATGACCAGGCAGGTAGACCATATCATGACCACTCAGATAGACCCCATCTTGACCGCTTGGATAGACTCCAAAATGACCACTCAGATAGACCCCGTCATGACCATGCAGGTAGACCACATCATGAATACTCAGATAGACCATATCATGACCACTCAGATAGACCCCGTCATGACCATGCAGGTAGACCACATCATGACCACTCAGATAGACCTTATCATGACAATTTAGATAGACCACATCATGACCACTCAGATAGACCCCGTCTTGGCCACATGGGAAGAGCTCGTCTTAGCCGTGCAGGGCTAGCTCGCCGTGGCCAGAGAGGGAGAGATCATCTTAATCACACAGGGCTGGCTCTTCCCAACCATGCAGAGAGAGCTCATCTAAGCCACACAGAGCTAGCTCATAGTGGTCACAGAGGAAGAGCTCGTCGTGGCCAAAGAGGGAGAGCTCGTCCCAACCGTACAGGGCTAGTTCGTAACAGCCATGCTGGGAGAGCTAATAATGACCACTTAGGGAGACTTCATCCTGGCCATGTAAGGAGAGCTCATAACAACCGTACATGGAGATCTCGAAGTCTTGAAGAGAGATATCGTGGTCAAAGAGAAAGATTTGGAAGAATCCAAACATCACCGGAATCTGACCCTGAAATTGACAGGTAAAAACAAAACCATGATTTATCAATGTTAGTACAATGTTTTTAAGGATATGGAAATGTATAGGCATGCATTCTATTTCTGTATCTTAATAACTAAATATGTATTTTCCTAATTCAGAAATTGTTCCAATTCAGATTATTCGAATTATGTGGCTCATGGTGTCAACTGACATCCACATGAAGTACCTAAGTTTGTATTCCAGTTTCTGACCTTTCCTCTGAGGGCTACCCAATAAAGAAAGTTGTTTACTTGGTATCTAGTTAGTTTTCTTTGCATCTTTCAAACTGGTAGGCAAAGTAATGTAGTGACAAATTATGTTAAATTGATAAAATATAATGATAATGAATTTGTTTCCTTCCTTAATCTCCTTCCTAAGGAGTTATAAAAGTCTTTAGCAAATAATATATATGTGTGTGGGTTGTTGTTGTTGTTATGCCCAAGGCCTTGTACATGTTAAGCAAATGATTTACCTCTGAGCCACAACCTCAGCTGAGCAAATGTGCCTTTGAGCAGCTCATTTTCTCCAAGCCCACTATCTAAAGTATGTGCTGTCTTCAGCAATAAGGTCTTACCTTCAAATTATGCAAAGCAAACAACGGCAACATCAATAGCCTATACTGTTTTGGCAGTCTCTTCTACTCCCATGACCAACAATTGAAAGGGAGGTTTCCTATGCTTAACCCTGGGGTTTTTTTTTAGATTGTCTATGATCCTTGTGGGGAGCATTGACACTTAAAATGGCATAACTTCATTCAAACTACATACATATTTTTAAACATGTTTATGTATATTTTAAATATATATATACTTCAGGAGCTCAAAATTACTATGTTTTCCTATGACTTTATTAAATATTCTTAGTGTTAATTATTTTTCCATCCTTCTCTCTCTGTATTTCCTCCCCACTTTTCAGTTAAATCCCCAACCTGTTTTCTCACTTTCCCTTTCACAGCACCAATGTCCTACTCTAGTCCTCTCTAGAGCACCTCTTCCTCCCACTGTGGCTTCTTTGTTTTTTTTTCCTGGCTTCTGAGGTTACTCAAGGTTATATATTCTCACCTAAGAATTCAGAATATCCACAAAAATAGAGAACATGCAGCATTTGTCTTTCAGGGTCTGGGTTACCCACTTGGCATATTTCTTAATCCCATCCATTTACTTGCAAGTTTTCTAGATGCAACATATAGCTAGTAACTGGTTATTCTACATTTCAATATCATAAAGAGAATTAATTTGAAATGTCTCCTTAAAAATCTTAGGGGGCTAGAGAGATAGCTAAGAATTTAGAATACTTGATGTACTAGCATGAAAACAAGACTTCGGGTCCCTGAACCTACACAACAAACCAGGTGTCCTATACAAACCTGTAGCCCAGTTGCTGAAATGGGGAGAGACAAGACTATTCAGTGGGACTTGCTGGCTTCCAGATTAGCCAAGAAAATGCAAGCCCCAGTATCAGGGAAAAACTTGCCTCAAAACAATAGGTGGAAAATGATTGTGCCCTCTTCTGGCATCTCCATGTGTATACAGGAACATGTATCAATACATAGTCATACTCTGACAGAGATGCATGCATGTATACATACACACACACATACACACATACATACATACATACATAAAATTAAATAAATCATTCACAAATGTTAACTAATCTGTCAGTGATACGTTTTAGTAAAAATTATTTTTCTGAATTTTTACCCTTTGTGATGAATACCAGAACTTCTACAATAAGAGAACAGACTGAATACTTATTTGATCAGGAACGGCACAGAAATGAGCTAATTAATCTGAATGGAGGGGTAAGTGCAATGCCTTCTACTTTCTACCTCAAAAGTCTGTGTGGTTTTATGTATCATTTTCATTTAACTAGGATTTCCTCTTGTGTCTTTTTTGCTTCTTTGAAAATTTGGCATTTATTTATATTAATGATTATTTTCATGAGTTTAAAAATAAATTAACAATATCAATGTATAAGGAAATCCATAGATCATATTATATATGCTTACAAAAATTCTTTCCAATCTTCTAGTATAATTGCTTGTAAGTTTTCTGCAAGATGTTAAGACGCCTAAGATCCTAGCATTCAGGAAGTTCAGACACAAAGAGCTTAAATTCAAGACAATCCTGTGCTACATAGCAAGATCCTGTCTGAAATGAACATAGCTCAGTTAGAAGAGTGTTTTTGCCAGGCATGGACTAGTTAGTCACTGCTTTTGATCACCTACACTGCATAAACTCAAGCATGGCAGCACACACCTGTAATCCCAGCCTTTAATTCTGCTCTCCCTGCCTCTGCCCACTAAGTGCAAGGCTAACAGGTAGGTGCCATCATGGTCAGTGTCAGGTTCTCTTCCCCCACCCCTACCTCTACCACCACCTCAGACCTCTGTTAAACAGCCTATTTACTTGTTGGTTGATCTGGGCCAACTAACATTTGTATGAAGTGATTATCCTTTCTTCTATTTAGCTGTTATCACTTACAAAGTAATTATAATAACAAGAGACATAAGTTGATGGTTTTAAAGCATCTAATTTTATCAAAAATCTGGAAGCTCCCAATTGGTATAGAAATGACACTTAATAAAACTAAATGACTGGAATAGTACAGTTTTCTACTTTAGCTGTTACAAAGACCATCAGTGTCTCAAGTTTGAATATACAAATTTTGAGACAACCCTTTGTGGATTTTTTTGGAACTCTGATACTACCTTAGATCCAGATAAATAATGTTTGGACCCAGGCCACATCAAGATTTAAGAGTATTTCTCTAGGTCACTACTACAGGGCCTTGGGGAAGTCACTTGATTATTCTCAACTGCAATTTTCCAGCATATTTAGAAGGCTTAAACTGATTTATCTCTAAGGGCACACTGCCTTTGACATTCTTGCATCTGTGTACAATATCAGAAATTGAATGGTACACTTGTAAGGTCAGCAAGAGTGAAAGACAGAAATGGGACTGCATGACCCTGTAACTGCACAGGCTATATTTGGGAAAACACATGTATCAAGGATATCTCTAGTTCAAGATTAGGGTTAGGTTTAGAGGGTTAGGGTTAGATGATTAGGGTTAGAGGGTTAGGTTTAGAGGTTAGGGTTAGGGTTAGGGTTAGGGTTAGGGTTAGGGGGGTGGGGTGGGTGGGTGTGGGGGGGTGGGGGGGGGGCGGTGTTGGAAAGAGGAGGGTAAGCAAGAATCTAGAAATGCAATTTAATTTAGTTCTAGGGATTCAGTCACTTTAGTTTGGCAGTTGTCATAGTTAACCAAGGTGGGAAAGGTTTACAAGATGGCAAAGGCCAGAGCTAACAATATTAAGAATCAAACAAAGGGATTATTGTCGTTTAAATGCTAAGAATTGCAACTTATATTAAAAAACAAAACACCTTGTGCTGATGTCATTTCAATAATTTGTTTCAATTCTTTCCATTTAGCTGATAGAAGAAGGCTACAGCTCTGATCAAAGTGACGAAAGTTCTGACAGGTAACTTTAGAAAAAATTTGTACAGTTCTTAAGAGGAAAATATGAAAACTGACATTGAATATAACATCCATCCTAGAGCCTTACAATCTGACCTTGAGAAATTGCAAAAAATAATTAACAAATTGCAAAAAATAATCCTAGTCAGAATTAGAAAAGTCTTAATTATAGCAGCCTGGCTTGGTTTTATTTTTATTTAAGACTTTTATATGTCATACTCTGATGATATATCTTCAATATCATTGAAATTGCATCGAAACTGGATATATCTCTCTACAGGAATTGTCACTGGAAAAATCAAAACTATTTGGATTTTTTCTTTATTTCAATTTTTTAAATTTTTATTTTAATTAGAAAAAAGATTATTTTACATGTCAATCCCAGGTCCCTCTCCCTCCCCTCCAACTAACGCCCCACCTATCCCATACCTTTTCTGCACCCCAGGGAGGGTGAGCCCTTCCACAGGGGGTCTTCAGAGTCTATCATATCCTTTGGGATAGGGCCTAGGCCCACCCCCTTTTGTCTAGGCTCAGGGAGTATCCCTCCATGTGGGATGGGCTCCCAAAGACCATTCCTATGCTGGGATAAGTTCTGATCTACTACAAGGGGCCCCATACATTTCCAAGGTCTCCTCACTGACAGCCACATTCACGGGGTCTGGATCAGTCCCATGCTGGTTTCCCAGCTATCAGTCTGGGAACCAAGAGCTCTCCCTTGTTCATGCGAGCTGTTTCTGAGGGTTTTACCAGTCTAGTGTGGACCTCTTTGCTCATCACTCCTCCTTCTCTGCAACTGGATTACAGTTCAGTTCAGTATTTAGCTGTGGGTTTCTGCTTCTACTTCCACCAGCTGCTGGATGAAGGCTCTAGGATGGCATATAAGGTAGTCATCAATCTCATTATCAGGGGAGGGCATTTAAAGTAGCCTCTCTTCTGTAGCTTATATTGTTAGTGGTGTCATCTTTGTAGCTCTCCATACATTTCCCTAGTGCCTGATTTCTCTTTAAATGTATAATGTCTCCCACTATTATAGTATCTCTTAGCTTGCTCTCTTTTGTTCTTCCCGCAACTCAACCTCCCTGCCCCATCATGTTCTCCTCACCCCTTCTTCTCCCCTTCTCATTCTCCTAGTTCCCTCTCCCCTCCCCCCATGTTCCCAATTTGCTCAGGAGATTTTGTCCCTTTCCCCTTCTCCAGGGGACCATGTATGTGTCTGTCTTAGAGTCCTCCTTGTTTACTAGCTTCTCTGGCAGTGTGGATTGTAGGCTGGTATTCCTTTATATCTAAAATCCACATATGAGTGAGTACATACTATGTTTGTCTTTTTGTGACTGGGTTACCTCGCTCAGAATGATTTTTTTTAGTTCCATCCATTTGCCTGCAAATTTCAAGATTCCACTGTTTTTTTATTTTGTTTTGTTTTTGCTGAGTAGTACTCCACTGTGTAATGCACCACATATTTTGATTAGTTTATACATATTATATGAGATAAAATACATTCAGAAACATTAAAAATATGTATACTTATAAACATTGGTGTAACCAAAACTCAAGTAAATAAAACCATAAGCATTGGTAATCTCCCTAAAATATACTTTAACAGGTACCTCTTTCACATGTACTCACCATGCTAACATCTGTGTGAGGTGTTGGTTTATACACTTTGCTGCTCATTTTTCCTCATTTTTGGATTTATTCATACTCTAGAATGAATTCTTTACTGTATGTATGCATTGAAAATATCTTCTAACATTTGATACTTTTTCTATAGTCTTTGATGAATTGGTGTTTTAACGCTTAAGGTTGTTTTAAATAAAAGCCATCTACTAAACTTAATATATATTAATTTATATTTCATGCCATTTGTTTTTTATTTTAATTAAAAAGAAGATTATTTTACATGTTAATCCCAGGTTGCTCTCCCTCCCTTCCTCCATTGCCCGCCCAGCTAATACCCAACCTATCCCATACCATATCTTCTCCCCAGGGAGGGTGAGGCCTTCTGTAGGGGGTCTTCAAAGTCTGTCATATCCTTTGGGATAGGGCCTAGGCCAACCCCCTTATATCAAGGCTCAGGGAGTATCCTATGCTAGGGATAAGTACTGATCCACTACAAGGGGCGTCATAGATTTCCAAGGTCTCCTCAATGAAACCCACATTCAGGGAGTCTGGATCAGTCCCATGCTGGTTTCCCAGTCTTTTTGTTACTGGGTTGCCTCTCTCAGAATGGTTTCTTCTAGTTCCATCCATTTGCCTGTGAATTTCAAGATTCCTTTTTTTTGTTTTGTTTTGTTTTTTCTGCTGAGTAGTACTCTCTTGTGTAAATATACCACATTTTCTCTATCCATTCTTCAGTTGAGGGGCATCTAGGTTGTTTCCAGGTTCTGGCTATTACAAATAATAATGCGATGAACATCGTTGAACAGATGTCTTTGTTGTATGAATGGGCTTCTTTTGGGTATATGCGTAATAGTGGAATTGCTGGATCTTGTGGTAGACTGATTCCCATTTTCCTGAGGAGTTGCCATGCTGATTGCTAAAGTGGCTGTACGAGCTGGCACTCCCACCAGACTCCTCAGTCTGTTTATACGGTGGATTACATTGAGAGATTTTCGATGTTGAACCAACCCTGTATCTGGGGGATGAAGCCTACTTGATCATGGTGGATGACTTAGGTTTGCCAGTATTTATTGAATATTTTTGCACCTATGCTCATGAGAGATATTGGTCTGTAGTTTTCTTTCTTAGTTGTGTCTTTGTGTGGCTTGCGTAGCAAGGTAATTGTAGCCTTGTAAAAAGAGTCTGACAGTGAACCTTCTGTTTCTATTGTGTGGAACTATTTAAGGAGTATTGGTATTAGCTCTTCTTTGAATTTCTGGTAGAGTTCTGTATTGAAACCATCTGGCCCTGTTTTTTTTTTTGGGGGGGGGGACTTTTATGACTGCTTCTATTTCTTTAGATGTTATAGGTCTGCTTAAGTTGCTTATCTGTTCTTGATTCAATTTTGGTAAGTGATATCTATCCAGAAAATTGTCCATTTCCTTTAAATTTTCAAATTTTTTGTGGAGTACAGGTTTTCAAAGTATGACCTGAAAATTCTCTGGATTTCCTCAGTTTCCGTTTGTTATGTCCCCCTTTTCATTTCTGATTTTGTTAATTTGCATGATCTCTCTTCTGCCTTTGGGTTAGTTTGGATAAAGGTTTGTGTCTCTTGTTGATTTTCTCGAAGAACCAAATCTTTGTTATGTTGATTCTTTGAATTGTTTTCTTTGTTTCCACTTTATTGATTTCTGCCCTCAGTTTGATTATTCCCTAGGGGTGAATTTGGTTCCATTTGTTCTAGAGCTTTCAGCTGTGATGTCAACTCTCTGGTGTGACTATTCTCTAGTTTCTTCATGTGAGCACTTAGAGCTATGAACTTTCCTCTTAGTACTGCTTTTAAAGTGACCCATAAGATTGGGTATGTTGTATCTTCATTTTCATTGAATTCTAGGAAGTCTTTAGTTTCTTTCTTATTTCTTCCTTGACCCAGGAGTGGTGCAATTGCACATTGTTCAATTTCCATGAGTTGGTAGGTTTTTTGCATTTGTGTTGTTTTTTAATTCTATTTTTAAAGCATGGTGGTCTGATAAGACACAGGTGGTAAACCAATTTTTTTGTACCTGTTGAGGTGGTGCCGAGTATGTGGTCAATTTTAGAGATGGTACAGGTGGATGCTGAAAAGAAGGTATATTCTTTTGTGTTGAGATGGAATGTTCTGTAGATGTCTGTTAATCCTAATTGGGTCATACCTTCTGTTAGTTTCTTTGTCTCTTTGTTAAGTTTCTGTTTGCTGTCCAGTGGTGAGAGTGGGGTGTTAAAGTCTCCCACTATAACTGTGTGAGGTCTTATTTGTGATTTGAGTTTTAATAATGTTTCTTTTGGTACCTTTGTATTTGGGGCATAGATGTTTAGAATTGAGACTTCTTTCTGATGGATTTTTCCTGTGATGAATATGAAATGACCTTCTTCATCTCTTTTGATTAATTTTAGTTTGAAGTCTAATTTTTTAAGATACTAGGATAGCTACCCCCAGCTTGTTTCTTGGGTCCATTTGATTGGAATAACTTATCCCAACCCCTTACTCTGAAGTAATGTCTGTCTTTGAAGTTGATGTTTCTTGTATGCAGCAGAAGGATGCATTCTGTCTTTCTATCTGTTCTTTTGGCCTG